CGCGCGCGCACGCACACGCACACACGCACACACGCACACACACACACAGGTGCTATAACACCAAACAATGCAACAGCTCTAGCCCCTGTGTGCGGTGGACAGAATATTAGGAACGTTTGAAGCAAACAGCCTCTCTCTCTCTGCTGTGTGTGCGTCATTGTGGACGTGCTGCTGCACTGTGTGACTAACAGGTGAGCAACAGGTGTGTGCGAGAGAAACGAGGTGGAAACAGCTGCAGCCCGTCAACAGATCCTCTATCGTTAAAAACTGATAATGCAGACGGAGTAAACCTGAGCTGCTGATCCAAAGGTCAGGCCTGATCGTGGCGCTCTGCGCGCTGTCTGCCCTTCAGCTCGTCTAACTCACATTAGATATGCCGAAGCTTCACACACACACACACACACACACACACACACACACACACACACACACACACACACACACACACACACAGAAGTGTGAGAAAAAGAAGAAAAAGAAGAGCTGTAGTTACCACGAGGTGATTCATGTCGAGCTGTGCTGCCTCTCTTCAACCTCACAAGGACATGCGCACACACACACACACAGAGTCTCAGTGTTTCTGACACGCTGCCAAACTACGATCTGCTGCAGAGGCCAAACTGTCTGCGCTCGGCAGGAAGTAAACACGACACTGCAGCTTTGCATTGTGCAAAAGTCTTGAGCCACCCAAGCAGTCGGGCTTTGGCGTAATGCTTAAGTGCTCTTGAGCAACATTTCTCCCACTTTGTGGAACTCTGTTTTTCGCTCATGAATCATTCAAACATTAAAGGCTTCAAGGGATGAAGCAGTGTGTCTGCGCGTCACAGCTTCCTTTACGCTCTTTTTTCTGTCAGTAACAAAGAACATTGTTTTAGTTGAAACACAAAAAAGGAAGTGGACGAGAAAAGAGGAAGTGTCAGACCTACAAAATAAACTATCTACAGCATCTGAAAGTCATGCTCTTATGGTCCAGATGTCAAGAGGAATCTATTAACGTGTCCCTTAAGACAAAAACGTTCAGAGGTGAACTCACATACAAGGTCTTAAATAATCAGGCCCCATCTTATCTCAATGACCTTGTAGTACCATATCACCCTATTAGAGCCCTTCGCTCTCGCTCTGCAGGCCTACTTGTTGTTCCTAGAGTATTTAAAAGTAGAATGGGAGGCAGAGCCTTCAGTTTTCAGGCCCCTCTTCTGTGGAACCAGCTTCCAGTTTGGATTCAGGAGACAGACACTATCTCTACTTTCAAGATCAGGCTTCAAACTTTCCTTTTTGCTAAAGCATATAGTTAGGGCTGGACCAGGTGACCCTGAATCCTCCCTTAGTTATGCTGCAATAGACATAGGCTGCCGGGGATTCCCATGATGCATTGAGTTTTTCCTTTCCAGTCACCTTTCTCACTCACTATGTATTAACAGACCTCTCTGCATTGAATCATATCTGTTATTAACCTCTGTCTCTCTTCCACAGCATGTCTTTATCCTGTCTTCTTTCTCTCACCCCAACCAATCACAGCAGATGGCCCCGCCCCTCCCTGAGCCTGGTTCTGCCGGAGGTTTCTTCCTGTTAAAAGGGAGTTTTTCCTTCCCAGGTGATCATCTGGCTGCTGGGTTTCTCTGTATGTATTATTGTAGGGTCTATCTTACAATATAAAGCACTTTGAGGTGACTGTTGTAATTTGGCGCCGTGTAAATAAAACTAAATTGAATTACCAGGACAAACAGAGGGAACGACTCTGGGCTAAAAGGCACTCAGTAAGAAGAGTCTGATGAGGCCGAGCACACAGTAGGGAGCCTTCCTCTCAGGCCGCCGTGCCGAGTCCTGCAGCCGGCTCGGCTGACCTGCTTCTCATGGCAGAGGGAGCTGTACTTCTACTTAAGTACAGATACTTGTGTTAAAAATACTCCAGTATAACCTGAAGTACTCATTCAACTTCTTTACTCAAGTAGAGGTGAAAAAGTACCGAGTGTGAAATGTACTCAGAGTAAGGAAGTAAGAAGCAGCACCACGTTGCTAGCACCTATTTTAATGCACAGCTAAATATAATATGAGTGCATGAGAATACAAATGATCCTTAATCTAAATTCTGATTGTCATGAATGTACTCGAGTACATTAGAAGAGAATAGAAACATCTGTGTTGCATGATGGAGGGTGACTTGGCCTCCACAGCTAAACAGAAACATGAGGCGAGTCGAGGGTTACAGTGAGAGGCAGCAGGAACATGAAGACCTGCTGAGTGAAAGCAGAAGTCCTCGGAGGCTGTACAGCCACCCAGGGTTTAAACTGCTCCACCTCTGTCAGGTGGAGGGAAGTGAAGCACAGCCCGTGCTTCCCCTGAGCACTCAGAGCTTGTTTAAACTCAGAAACACTGAGCTGAGTTTCACTTCTTGCTTTTTGAGAAATATCTGAGTGAAACTGTCAGAGCTGCTCAGTGCAGCAGCTGCAGCCGCCCAGCTCCACCTCAGAGCCTCCATCACCACACACAGGTAAGGAAACAGCGCCGTGATGTTTGGTAAAGTGCTGCAGGAGGGAGAGCGATCGCCTCCGGTCTGGTCTGATCCTGAAGTCTTGTGTTTTCTTCAGCAGCTTTGCAAACTTAAGCCGTGCTGCAAACCTCCCAAACAGCCTCACTAATCACACTGCTGTGAACTTTAACCTTTCACCTGCTAACTCACAGTCTGAGAAGGAGCTTGTGGTTTTGATGCTTTGACTTCGAGGTGAGTTTCCTGCTTGTGAATAATCTCTCACTGCAGAAACGGTCCCCAGACTGATGGAGCAACAGTCTCGCCTCCTTAAGCTGCCAAATCCTCTGCTTTTGCCGCTCACACGGATGATGATCAGCACCACCTGATTCCAGTGGAAGCAGCGGTGTAGGGCGTAGTTGGTCTCAGGAGAGTAATTGGAAAATACATTTCTACTTCAGCTCTGTTTTGTGTTGCAGTCTGGAGGAGATGCACCGCTCATTGCTGCCCCTGCTGGTCAGCCTGAGTCCTGCTATTCTGTTCCTGTTGCCTGGCATCATTGTGACACAGGAAGGCCTCTGGGAGGACTACAAATATGGCCACGGTGACCTGGACAACCACAATTTCTGCACCTGGAAGTGCCTCCTGTTCACGCTGCAATGGCCGGGCGCGTTTTGTCAGGTGAGCATTGGGCTGTGCATCAGGAAAGGGTGGTGTTCCCCTTCACAGTAAAAGCGGCGACTTCTGAAACATCTGCGGCGGTCAAATTTAAGAAGAGCTAAAGACATAAATACACACACTGAAAATATCCTTTAAACAATGACGTGTTTGTGTCCTTTAAGAAGGGAAACCAGGAAGAGGCAAAGTAAAAGAAATGAGGCTGAAAAGGAAACGAGCCATAAGAGAGTAGGAATGGAGAGGGTAGGGAAAAAGAAGGCAGGAAGGTGGTGAGTTCTTCTTCTGTGGTGTCTAACATGCTGTCTGTCCCTCAGTCTCTGAACAACGTGAGTCTCTGCAGGATTCCTCCAACCGTCAACAACTGGACCATCCACGGCCTTTGGTAACCCCACCCTGCTGCAGCAGCTGAGATTACTCCCAGTGTTCAGACTGATCAGTGTTATTGATCCTGGGTTGTCCTGTTGATTTCATTGGCTGTTTGCGTTTGTGCCTGCAGGCCCCTCCACGCTAAGAACCGCTGCGACTGCTGGCCGATGTTCCCCTCTGACGTCCAGGTGAGTCCTGGTTATGCAGCACTGTGCAAAGGTCTTCAGGAAGCCCTCATTTCTTTCCAAACAAACGTGGAAATAACTTAAATGGGAAAACATGCACAGAGGCCGACAGTGATCACTGACTGTTTTTAGGGCCTGGTTCAGATTAAACGGAACAAGATACAAAGCATTAAAACATGTGAAAAACACATCAGCCCTAATAAACCCAGAGGCAGGATTCATCACTTAGAGACCGGATAGACTCTGCCTCTATAAATGCAAATGCATCAGGAGGCTCCTGTTGCAGTGATCATCAAACACTAACGTTCTTGTTTTTCAGGAGCTGAAGGCGGAGCTGACTGAACTCTGGCCGTCATTTGTGAGATTCAAGTCCAACTTCCACTTCTGGTACTCACCTTCATCGACACACAATGTCCAGCAGGGGGCGACGCCTCTAACATCTCATTATATGACAGTCTATCAGAAATACGAGCCTACTTTTAACTCAATCTATGACCTCTGCAAACACATCCATTGTCAGTTTGAGCTTTTAGTTGTTAGTCTCAAGACTTCAGGAAGGAAAGGAAACAATCATTCATGTGAGGAAATAAGATGAGAAATGAACGCAGGCAGTTCAAGGAAAAGAGGAGGTCACAAACAAAAAGACCTGAACTCTTTCATGGCATGCATTTTTAATTTCTCTTTGTGAAATGTTTTCAACATTGTGATCGATGCAATCATGGGCAGGACCTGCAACGGCCGCCGTGGAGTCCAGTATGCTGATGACCAATCTGCAACCGACTTGCTGTTAGCAGATGACAGCGCCATCTTTGCGGAAAATGATGCAGAGGCTACACATATTCTACACGACATCACCCAATTTGCTCAACCACATGGTCTCAACACCAAAGTCCTTACTACTGCCGGGTCGCCAGCCACCGTGCATCTCACAGGTGTGCAAATCGAACAAGTGCGGGAATTCAAATACCTCGGCTCTCTGGTCCAAGAAAAGAAAGTGGCATCAAGAGCGGAAATAGATTCAAGAATTGGTCAAACGGCGGCGGCTTTCGCCTCCCTCCGATGGTGCGTCTGGAAGAAGACAAACGTCACCCTCACCACCAAAATCCGCCTGTACCGTACACTGGTGTTGCCCATTCTTCTCTATGGGTCAGAGACCTGGGTCATCCTCAAACACGACCTCTTCCAGATGCGCTGTTTGAGTCAGATTCTCCGAGCGTCCGTGATCGTCTCAGCAACAGCGTGATACATAGTCAGCGTCACCAGCAGCCCTCAGTGGAAGAGCTGATTAGGAAGCGACGTCTGCAATGGTTTGGCCACATGTGCCGCATGAGCAACCATCGCCTGTCATATCGCCTTTTGATGCAGCAGACCCCGCCCTCTGGAGAGTCAAGCGTGATGCGCCCAAGAAGAAGTCATCAAGCAAATTGAAGATGACCTTAAACAACGACGTCTAATCCTCGAGCAAGCAAAGGTGAAAGCAAGAGACCACAAGGCCTGGAAGGCACCCACAGCGACGTAGTGGCTTTGTGGACAACTTCCCCGCCGAGCGCCAGCGAGGGACAAAAGAAGAAGAAAGAACGTAAAAACAAACGTGACTTTGTTTCTGGGAAAATGAGATCCACTTCGCTTTAAATTTCGATAGAACAGCAGCAGTATAACGTCCCCGTAAGTGGACATCAGGCCCATGCAAAATTTAGTATTTTGGTCTAGACAACCCAAAATGTGATGTCCACATATGTGAACGCCAGGTCCTAGGAGGTTAAGGAAGGAAACAAGGGGGGTGGCAAGGAAAGGTTTGTTAAAGGCAGGAAAAATGTTCCTAGAGAGAGAGTGAGAGTGAAGGAAGTAAAGAGTAAGTGTGAGGAAGGAAATTAGGGGAGAACCAAAGAAACAAAGGAAGGAATTAGGGTTATAGAAAAGGAAGAAAAATTATGGTGTACAAAGGTTAGAGGAGGAAATGAGGAAATAAGGGGACAAGAGAGAGGAAAAGAAAGGAAGGATAAAGAAGGAAAGGAAGCAAATGACATCTTGAGGAAATGAAGGTACAGGAAGGTGAGTAAGGGTTTAGGAAATGAGGGGAAGCAGAACGTGACCCTGTAAACTCACTCGGGTTGTGATTCTCTTCCTAAAGCGTGTTTCTGTGCGTCAGGAGGGACGAGTGGAGGAAACACGGAGCGAGCGCGGCGTGCGTGGAAGGAATGAACTCTCCGCTCAGATACTTCCAGGTCTGCGTCAAACTGCGAGCACAGTTCGACATCCACAGGTGAGTTCAGCTCTTCTTCAAACTGAGACCCCGAGGTCGATCCTCACGTTCCCATCTGTGCTCCGTGGAACTCAGGTGAGCTCTGAAACGAACAGTGATGTTTTATTTGTGTCTGCAGCCTGCTGGAGGACGCCGGCATCACTCCGTCCTGTGAGCGACCCTACAAGGTAACAGTCGACAAATCCAACTCTGACCTGGGGAAGGGTTTTTCAAGCCTCTCATGAGCCAAACTCAACTTCCGACTTTTTCTAAAAGGTTAAAAAACCGGAACCTTTTATTAACTCTGCTGATCATTTGTCAGAAACACCTTAAAGCTGTTCTCGGGTCTTACAGCTCCTGTTCCACGGTTAGAGGTTCAGATTAAACCAAAGTTTCTGATAATGAGCTCATCAGTTAAAGCTCAGGCTGCAGACTGTGTCACCCACCTGCTGTCCAAATATGCTGCTTACGAGGAGCAGCCAATCAGAATAAAGTCATTAAGGGGGAGGAGCTGACATATCTCGTTTCATATGAAGTGAAGCCCAGTATGAGCTAAAGTAGGATTATTCTGAACACAGAATCATGCAAAGCCATCAATAAAACCACAGAACTGGAAATTAGCAGGTCGGCTTTGAAATATTATCCATGTGTTATTTAAACTAGAAGTCTAAAATTATCATGTGGAGGCTCATCATGATGATCGTTTGAAGCCAGCTCACCTCCTGCAACCACTTTTCCGAGAACACGCGCTTCTTTTGCAGTTCGGACTCCTCCTGACATTTCTTTGGAGGTGGAGGAACACCAGAGTAATTGCTAAAAGGAGCTTCTTCACCATTTGTTCTAAACAAATGTCTGTCCTCCTCCAGAAAAGCTTATGTACGCAAACGCACATTGTAACTTCATCGTGTTGGGTCTTTTATTTTGACAGCGAATGCGCACCTGCGAACCACCCCTGATTATATCAATGAGATGTCCCCACAAGGATATAAATACGTGTGTACGTGTGTGTGTGTGTGTGTGTGTGTGTGTGTGTGTGTGTG